GTGGAGACTAATGAAAACCAAATTATTCTTCATGTTACTTTTAAAATGCCTGGAAAAGCTTTTGGCGCCCTTATTATACAAATTATTAAGAAGTGTTTCATTTATTTCTTCATGTATTGTGCACTGAAGCAGCAAAGGATCATGGTCTTTTAGCTATTGCTGCACCGTAATGTGAATTTAAGCAACGAGACTTGAAATTCGATATATTATTCGATATTATTGTGAGACTTCTGATGCTATTTTGGTTATTGTTACATCCTTACTACTGGGGGAAGACAAATGTTGCTAAAATACATCACCTAACAACTCCATCTGCTCCAAAAAAAATCATAATTATCACATTTTTTGCTATATTGATCCTTCTTCTTGACTATATCCTATGAAGTTTTTTCTCTGTCCTGATGCAACTAATGAGGGAGAGAAGTGGTCGGAGCTAATAGTTCAAACGGATCCATGTTCCTCACTCATGGTTGAAAATTTGGTGTTCAGGGACTTCAGGCAATCGAGTTTTAGTATTCACTCTTCAGCCTTCACCGTGTACTGATTCAGTGCTCGCTGCACACTTACTTATTTATTTGAAAGGTAAAAACAGCATGCTCTACAAATTCCCGCTGCATACTTTCCCTTTTTGGGACAGTACTTCTCAAATTGGCATGAAAGAAGCATTTACAGTACAATTATGAAATCCCCAAATCCTCAGACTATAAAATACTACTACTAAGGTACTACTCATAAAACTACTAGTACTTTGAAACTTCTATAATTGTGACTTTATATATTTATATATTGTTACTAACTACAATATTATTTAGCTCTGCATCAGTGTTGGGACTGGGTTAGGGTTGTGAAAAGTATCAATAATCAGATAATATACAATACAAAAACTAGTAGGGGTGTAACTGTACACAAAAAATCACGGTTTCGTATGTACCTCAGTTTTGAGGTCATGGTTCGGTTCATTTTCGGTACAGTATGGGAACAAAACCATTTGCTTTTTTATTTGTGTGTTTATTAAACCAACAGGTTGTTTTAACATTATACAAACGGGAAAATAAAATAAATGCAAAGTGCTGCTTTTTTGATACTAATAAGTTAAATAAAATATTCTCAAACAAGCAACAAATGTATGAAATATTATATTTAAAAAATCGTGTAAACAGTAAACAAAACTTAACAAAAAGTAAAGTGCAGCACTCACAGTTCCAGGATGAAGTTTTACTCAAACTTCATATTTTTGGCCAGAAAAACCAACTTGTCCACACAGTTTTGGATTCACGTGGTTTTGGAGGGACGTGATCAAAGCGTGGGGTAATTGTTGTCAATGTGGCTGCCCTAAGTATAGAGCGCTGCGGGAAACACTGCCACCCCAATCACGGACCAGTTTCCTCGTGAATATTAAAGAGCCGAGTCTTCTGTGTAGCTGCACATGTAGTGGCGGAATGTAAACACACACAAATTGCGCGAACTCACTTGTGCACAGCCCTGCACCGAACCGAACGTCCCGTACTGAAACGATTTGGCACGAATACATGTACCGTTACACCCTTAAAAACTAGTATCGAAACTAGATATACTCATTTGAGCAAGTATCGATACTAGGGCAGTCGCAATAACCGCAAAAATGAATCACCGTGATCTTAAGAGGCCCACTGTGGTACGTGTTGGGCCACCGCGATCACCGCACATGACCAACGTGACCCGACCCAGAGTCCTGCACGGGTCAAGTTTTTAGAGACCCGCACCCACCCTTTTCCTGAAGAGTTTTAGAAGGATCTTGAGCTGTTTCCTTAATATCGAAATTGAGAAATTTTAGTATCATGACAACACTAGTTTACACTTTGCTTATTTCACGTTTCAGTTTGGATTTCGACTTGGCTTAAACCGGTAAAACAAGAAAATATTACCTGATCATGGTTTAAAAAGTAAATAAAAACCACTAATATGAGTTGTCCAATGTAAAACAATTCAGTATATGTTTATGAAACCAGTGAAGCCTCCATTTTTCTCTGTGATAAACATTACAAGGCTCATTTCACATCTTTGACCTACATACCGCACATAGGAGTTTCCCATAGTACGAGCCCGTGTTTTGTGTATTATTATGGAAAGTAGCCTTTTGCCTTCTCTCAACACTTCCCCAGTCACATATCATTCAGAGCACTATTTGGGTCAGTTTTTCTCATGGATGGAAGAGTTTGATTTCAACAACATGCCTGCATATTTTTAAATATTATATGTTTGACAGAATTATACGCTCACTTGGAGATGGTTTGTTTTGTTAAAGAGATCTTTACAGGCCTAAGCTCCTAAACTAATAAACAGAAGTGACCAGTGGTGGAAGGTAAAGAAGTACAAAAGTAAAAGTACAAATTAAATACAAGTTTTAGGCATTTTTTTTTTTACAGTGAATACTTTTGATTTTCTACATTTGAGAGCAGGTATCTGTACTTTCTACTCCACTACATTTTAGATCTGGACTAAAAAGTTAAAAGTAGTTTTCTTTATGCAAAACTTTAGGGTGTGAAGGGCCGTTCACACCAAGGCGTCAAAGCGTCCAGTTTCAATGTAAAGTCTATGTGGACGCGCGACTAGAGCGTCCTGCGTTTTTGCGGCGCATCTTCAGCGTCAGCGCGGCGCGAATCTGCCGTCAGCGCGGCGCGTCTTCAGCGTTTTGGCGTCAGCGGCCAAGACGCGGCCAAGGCGTCAGCGTCAAGAAGTTGAAAATGCTGAACTTTTCGCGTCAGACGCGCCGCGTCAGCCAATCAGGGACGAGTATCCAGAGACGCAGCGACGTTATTATCATGAAGCAAGACCCGAGAACCAGAACGAGAACCACAAACATGAGCGGAGAATAAATATATACGCCACAATCACCGAGCCGATAGCGAGGACTACACCAGGAACGGACCACCAGGACCAAACCAGGACTAGACCGGGACTAAACAAGGACTAAACAAGGACTAGACCGAGACTAGACCGAGACTAGACCGAGACTAGACAAGGACTTAGACCAGGACTAGACCGTGATTAGACCAGGACCAGACCGGTATTAGACCAGGACTAGACCGGGACTGATCCAGTGTCATTAGCGGAGTATAAATATATATACGCCCCAGTCGTCGACCCGATCTCCGTCGCTGATGTTTTATGTCATAAAAAGGAAAAGAGCGGGACCGGGCTCTTGTTTCCAGGGCAACGGACGCGCATCAAGTATTTTTGTCCCGTTCGTCCACGGCGTCAAAGATGCGCGTCGGGGGCGTCTAAACTCAAATGCAAAGGCGTCCAAATACAGGCGTCAAGGCGTTTTTTTGGCGCTTTGGTGTGAACGGCCCTTAAGAGTGCTACTTGGATGTACAAAGGTTGTGCAAAATTGTCCTTTAGGTGCTCTTCAGTGTAGGAACCAGTCTCGCCAAGATTTTAACTTAAAATCTCATCAAGATTTGAACTTTATCTGCCATGTGGTCTTAAAGGCTTTTCATTATTTTGTACTTTTTGAGTGCCTCAGCTTTTTCAACTTAGTTTTCTTTATGGTTTGAGACCTGCTAGAAAAGATGAGACTTTATTTTTCACACATTTAATTTGAGTTTCTGTCCCACTTTGAGCAACATAACACACAAAAACAGCTAGAAAAAATAAGAAATCATCTATTGAAGTCAATTTCATCCTTTGATTGTTCTAAAAATCTCTGCTAAATACTTTTACTTTTTACTCTTTAAGTATTTTTTTTAAACATGTAGGTTTACTTAAGTAACAAAATTGAGTACTTCATCCATCACTGGGAATGGCGTCCCTATGATGTGACTGATTACAGAGGGTTTCCATATGAAGTGATAGGTTGTAAGTTGTTAAAGGTGCATTGTGTAAATTTTCTTATGCTTGTTTCTATGGAGATGTCACTGCTCTGCCTGGAATGTTCCACAGTATAACATTAAACAGCTCAAACCTGCATTTATTAAGTTATAGGTGGTTTTATAGCTCAAAAATACCTAGAAAGACAGGCATTCTGACTGTGAGTGGTGTTGCCTCTCCACAGATCTGACCTGTAAGTTGGTGTGGTTTGGTCTCCATGAAGATGGAAAGATTTAATACCATACTGTGAAACATTCCAGATAAAGCAATAACATGGCCATGGAGGAAAGCATTTGATGGACTTTCCACCAGAAAAGTTCCAGAATGCATCTTTAACACTAAATCCAATCCTTAAACAAAATCTGAATTCAGTAAAAAATGAATAAAAGCAATTTGTGTATCATTCGTTCATTTGTTTTTCAATATAAAACCAAAAATAAGAAAACGAAAAAAGATAAACTATTTTCTTCATTATTTGTCTCTAAAATGAAAAAAAAAAAAAAACAGATAATGATTCGTTTTTTCAGTTTTAGATTTTGTGTTTAAATGAATAATGGAAAAAACAGATAATGGACGTTTCCCGTTTCCATGACATAAACTGAGATGCCGGACTTTTGCACCGCATACGGACTGAACCAGGACTAAAACAGGACTAAAACAGAACTAAACCATGACTAAACTGTATTCAGTCCTGGTCTGGTCCCAGTCTCAGTCCCGGCATCAGTCCTGGCCTCAGTCCCTGTCTGGTCCTGGTCTCAGTCCCAGTCCTGGTCTCGGTCAGGTCCCAAACTGAAAAAAAGGTATCGTTATCAGTTTTTTCACTGTGGTTTTAGAAACAAATGAAGAAAATATATATATTTCATTTTTTAAATATTTGGTTTTATTTTGAAAAACGGATGAACGAATGATACACGGATTCAAAGCACTTTTTGCACAATCGTTATCAGTAAAAAGCCAGATTAATTCACATCTGGGGACATAGATAGTTGATGTCCCATAAACCACCACACTCGAAAAGCTTGTTACCAAATATAAAAACGTATCTTTACAACGATCTACTATGAAAACTTTTGTAACACTATCCATAAGCTGAATTCTCACCATGTGCTTGTGTGAGTCGTGTTTTGACTGCGCCTCTGTTCTCCCCTCAGGTCTCTGTTGTGCTCGGAGAGTCCAACAGCGCTCCGCCAGACACGTGTAAGAGAGGATTCACACAAGACGAGTACGTCGCAGAGGTGGACAGACAAGTGCAGAGCCGCCAGGCACTGTGTAACGGTCAGTACTCACACAAAACACACACACACGAGCTTGGTTATCCCACTCCTGGTCTGATGGGGGCGCTGGTGTTGGACACGATTGTAATGGCGGTTGTTGTTGTTGAGAGATTTTGTATGCTACAGTTAGAGCGGAAAAGAAATGGGAATGGTCGCAATTAGTAAAACCCCAAGACTGCAGTTGTTTAAATGTCCCATATTCCTCTGATCCATGTAAGTCTGTGCAATTAATTGAATTTAGATCATTATTTCGATAAGTGTGTCAAACGATCTCCAAACTCATATAATCAAGTTGAAACAATAAAGCTTTACAAAGTTTATTTATATAGAGATTGTAGAACAGCTTGATGTATACTTTATTTTGGATACATTTATGTTTTTCTATTCCTTATTTCATGTTCAAAGTATATTTTATTGATTGATTTGTGTTTTATGCTTTGCAAAACTGCTCTAAGGTACATATTTGTAGCCTATATTTATCCTCAATTTGAAAGTTTTGCGTAAATTATCAATAAGAGTTTTTTTTTTTTTTTTGTGAGAGAAATGCTGAATAGATGCATTGTGTAACTAAAAAGTAATTGTTTTAATAATTGTGATTTAAGTATTGACCAAAATAATAGTAATAATGATTTTTTTTCCATAATCAAGCTGCCCTAAATGTATGTTATAATGTTGTATCTTCATTACAAACAGACCTGGAGTTGTGTTTTGTTTCATTCACACAACCTGCATATTTAGGCTAAGTTCTTCTCTCAGACTGAAAACACTCTGTTCCACTTTGTCATCTCATGTGGTAATACAGGAATTGCTTCTCTAAGTGTCATGACATCACAAGGTGGAACAGAGCATTTTGAGCTTTGGAGATGTAGACAAAGTAATGACGGTCACTCAGGCCACAGCATTCTATCATTCTAATGGCTTAAAGCTCACGAGAGTTAATTTGGCGTAATATAAGACCTTTAAATGTCATTATTTTCTGTTCTCGGGGCCTGGGACGTGTCTATTAGTGAGTCAAGATTAGTGAATCAAAGTAGAAGAGCAATTAGGCCAAAACATGTAGCTGTATTTTTCTGGTAGAGGGTCCACCACTTCGATGTTTTCTTCCTGAAATGTTCCACTCTATGGGATTTAATTTAACTATTAACTAATTGCCATGGAGACAAGCAGGCCGTGTCACCGGGTCAACTTACAGGTCAGATCTGTGTAGAAATGAACCTGCTCACAATCATAATGCATGTTTTTGAGGTAGTTTTGAGAAATAAAAACAGCTTTAATGAATAAATACAGGATATATTTGTTTAATCCCATAGTGCGGAACATCCCAGGCAAAGCAATAACATCACCATGGAGACAAGTAGATGGCAAACCCTCCAAACAGAAAAGTTACACAGTGAACCTTAAATTTGTGAAGTGAACTCTTGGAACGTCAGATATTTCCCAGTTAAACGTTACGAGTTACAGCTGAATTATCTCATATGTAAACAACGTGGCAAAAGCTAAAGAGAAGAATATTTTCTGATTAAACTGTATCAGGTGTTTACTTGGTTTATGTGGTGGTTTTTGTGAGACTTTGAGACTTGACTTGATAAAATAGACAAAGACTTGGGACTTGACTCTGATTTAAGGCCTGTGACTTGAGAAGACTTTATACTTGTCCTAAAAATATATATGTATGTTTTTAGAAAATACATTTCTCTTTACAGTAGATACATGTACAAGTGAACAAATGAACAAACTGGAACATGTCCCTCCCACCTCTCTATTTTTATTTTTTTTTACTTTGGATGCAACTAAAGTACTGTGATACTCAAATGTACTACAGTAATATACAGTACAATACAGTAAAACAGAGGGAACTACAAATTATGATCCTTCAATTTCAGTGCAGACTGCTTGACGAAATAAGTGTTGTTAAGCTCTCTTAAATCTTAATTATATCTATTCTGACTGTAATAATTTGCACTCTTGTCAAGACATTTAAAAAGGAAAAATTTGCATTTCTACATCTCTTATAAATACTTGTTTACCATGACTTTTTAGGTACCATTTAGTTTAAAAGTCTTACAAATTGCAAAAGTTATTTGGTACGTTTTTGGTTTAAAGACTTGAAATGACTTTAACTTGACTTGGACTTATGGGCCAGTGACTCGAGACTCGACTTGGACTTGCCTGTATTTGACTTGGGACTTGACTCGGACTTGAGGTCAAAGACTTGAGACTTACTTGAGACTCGCAAAACAACGACTTGGTCCCACCTCTGTTTCTTTTTGCATCTGAATTAGGAGTCTTCTGATCACCTCCCACTTGAAGAGCTGCTTTTTGGGCAAGTTTTCAAGTCAGAGGTGGGAAGTATCTCAGTTACCAATTGCCTGAAATACACCGTTTGAATATAAAATGTGCATTATGTAACTTTCTATCTTCATGGAGACCAAACCAGACCAAGTTACAGGTCAGATCTTGTGGAGAGGCGACCCCACTCACAGTAAGAATGTTTGTTTTTCCTTTTCTTTTTTTCCTATAAAACCACGTATAATCTAATAAATATAAAGTAGAGCTTTTTTAATGTCATACTGTGCGACATTCCAGGCAGAGCAATGGGAACAAGCGGGTGATGGACGCCCAACCAAAAAGTTACATAGTGCGCCTTTATCCTCAAATGGTGGGTCGTGTTATTTTAAAATCTTAATATCAGTATCAGCTACAAAAAGCAAGACAAACATCAGATATCTGTATCAAAAACAAAGACCGTCCATTGTAAATATTTCTCGCAGATTTTCCAGACACCTCCTAAATAAATTCTGCCTTTGCCATTTACTAATTGCTACCATTCAAATCGCAACTCCGCTTCTCCAGTCATTAATCTCGCGGCTCTGGCAGTAATCCCCCTCCCTGTCTGCGGGGGTGCTAGTGGGGGAGGGGTGTGCGTTGAGATGTGGGCCGTAATGGATGTTGAAGTGCAGTGACCTTTGCCAGACTGAGCTGCTCCAGGATTAGACGGAGAGGCTGCAGACGGGGGATAAGAGGCCCGCAGACGGTGGGCCCAGGGCGGGGAGGACAACGTGGCAACAGTGGGCGTGCTGGGTTTGAAGAAGTTGAAAAGAAAAAAAGGAATTGTTAGAAGAAGTGTGTGCAAGATTAAATGCGTTTGTTAAAGCTGTAGAAAAGTTAGTTGGTGAAATGTTATAGTTGTTTTGTTGTTTTCAGCTTTCCAGATTCCTAACGGGAAAAGAGAAAGAATGAGAGATCGTGACCTGGAGTTGTGTTTTGTTTCATTCACACATATTTGAGCAATCCTGCGTTATCAGCCTGTCTGTCTACATCTCCAAAGCTCAAAATGCTCTGTCCCACCTTGTGATGTCATGTAGTGGTTAGGGATGGGACAAGATTTTGAGCCACAAGATCTCTACAATATTGTGCACACATGAGAAAAATTATCTTGTGAGATTGTCCATCCATCCATTTTCTTCCTGGGTCGTGGGGGCAGCAGTCTAAGCAGGGACTCCCAGACTTCCTTCACCCCAGACACTTCCTCCAGCTCCTCCAGGAGGACCCCAAGGCGTTCCCAGGCCAGCCGAGAGACATAGTCCCTCCAGTGTGTCCTGGGTCTCCTTCCGGTAGCCTGATTCGTCAGCCAGTTTTACTTCATTTCACTTTATAGAAACCGTCTGATCTCGCAGCCTTAGATTTAGTTCGCTTGACTGTAGTCGGGTACTTTATATCATTTAACCAATGCACCGCTAACAGGGCTAACTGGTATATTAAGCGTTTTCCAAATCCCGTAGGAAGAATTGCAATAATGTCTTTCCCCTTGATAAAATTCACCAAACATTCTCTTTGTTCCAGCTTTAAATCCTCGATGTCGGGAATCGTTGACAACACTGAATATATCACTCTTTGCTGATTGGCTGGTGCTCCGAACTTGCACTTCCAGTGTTTTTGCGAACCATCTATTGTATTTTGATTCCTGACCTAGTCGCTGGAGAGAAATGAAATTTAGTGGAGGCACTAGGTGACGCCAGCCTGATTATCCTTCTGGTGGGACACGCCCAGAGATTTTTTCCCCCTGAATTGACCTTAAAAGAGTTAAGAGCTGATGAGTTATACAATTCAAGAAGCTGTAGTTCCAAAAAGCAGTACAACAGTGACCATTAAAGTATTACGTAAAATAAACAAAGCCAACATTGTGAAATTGATTGCATTTACTGTACTTATTTATTTGAAATATGTCAAAATCTTCTCATCTTGTCTCGCTCTCGTGGACCCAATCTTGTGGTGCGTCTCATCTCGTGAAACTTGTGTCTTATCCCACCCCCTAGTAGTGGTAGTTTTCAGGTTAACAGCTACTTTACTTCAGTAGCGATTGGCAATTCAAGGGCTGAAATGATCCGAGTGGTTCTAGTGAAAGTGCTGAAGTTTTAAAACGCAGTGTGGATCAGAGTGTTTTCAGTTTGAGAGAAAAAGAGCTCAGCCTAAATATGCGGGGTTTGTGTGTTAAACATGTGTGAATGAAACAAAACACAACTCCAGGTATGTTTTTGATGAGGAAACAACGTTATAACATGAATCTGAAAACAGCGTGATATGGGCCCTTTAATTGCGAGGGCCAAGCATGTGATTTGGAGCAGATGGAAGACTTTGGAGAAGGAAATGTGTTTATTTTTTGTGTTTACAGACTTTTAATCAGTGCCATTTTTGTTTATGTTCATGAAAATCTGAGAGTCTTTTAATTTTGTTTTTAAAAAGTCTAAATAAAACTGAGCAATATGAGGATTTTTGTTTTTATTTTCCCATATCACGCGGTGCTATCTGATGTGGTTACAATTGAGGCTTCACCCTGCAGTGGAAACTCATTTTGGCCGCTTGTATCCGCGATCTTGTCAGTTCGGTCATTACCCAGAGTTCATGACCATAGGTGAGGGTAGGAACGTAGACTGACGGTAAACTGAGAGCTTCGTCTTTCGGCTCAGCTCCGTCTTCACCACAACAGTCTGATACAGCGAC